TCTTGCTACACCATCCAGGACGAATTCGTTGAGCCCTGGATTTAGGTCACGGCCTCCAATCCTCACAGAGAGACAGATGCCACATGAAGGTCGTAAGGCCGCAGCACTCTGTGGGGAGGCTGGCATCTCATCAGCGATGTCCACCACAGAGAGTGTCTCCTGGCTGGGGAAGTCTGAAGTCAGCGATGCTTTGTGCACTTCAGCTAGTCAAGTGTACGAAGATGGCTTCATCCCAAACACTGCCTCCGCTGCATCAAATCCTCGAGCCATGCTCACGGTATGAGATCGGGCACCTGGCAAACATCGCTGAGAGAACCCACGACTTGACCCCAACAACATGCCGTCACGGAAAGGCCAAAAAGAAAATGGATACTACTATAGCATATTAGGGTTATATAGGGTTATATAGGAATATAGTCCCCCTTAAGTAGATATAGTTATATCAGGGTTACATAGGGATAATGAAAAAGAAAATGGAAACTACTATTTAGGGTTGATTGAAATCCTGGGCTCGGCACTGTTGGGTATGCTTGCGCTTGCCACAGACTGCATGTCAAATAACTCCTGCACTGCAGAGAATAGGGTTTAGGGTTTAGGGTTTAGGGAGAATGGACCGTAGGAAGGATCAAGCTGAGCCGCTCTCGCCTCTCTCACCCACATCCCAACCCCAATCCCGATCCCTAAACCCTTAACCCTAAACCCCAATCCCAAAACCCTAAACCCTAAAACCCTAAACCTCTCCTGGATCGAAGCCTCGAAGCTTCCAGTCTGGCAGCTTAGGCAGCTTGCATGGACTCCACTCTCAGATCTTCTATCAGAAAAAAAAACTAGGATTATATAGGGGTTATATTAGGGTTCTATAGGGATGATGGAAAAGAAAATGGAAACTACTATTTAGGTTTTAGGGGTAGTGTCCCCCTTAAGTAGATAGAATATGGGGTATATGGGGATCTTATTGAATGATACCCAAAGCCATATTCTATCTACTTAACGGGGACCATAACCCCAATATATACCCTGTTATAATGTGATGCACGATTTTTATTTGTTGTCTGGGCAACTGGTCATTGGAAAGCTGGTGAGTGTGTTATCGTGTTCCAATTTTCGGTGTGTATGTTGTCGTTTCGTTTTTGGTGAGCGCGTTGTCGCTTTCCAATCGAAAACCCTGCATCACGAATCCGATGTCCATCCTTTACATCTCTCCTATGACCGATAAAACCACCACACATCACATGGTAGTTTCCATTTTCTTTTACATTATTATCCCGAATATAACCCCAGCCATATTCTATCTACTTAAGGGGGACCATAACCCTAAACCCTGAACCCCATCTACTTAAGGGGGACTCGAATCCCCCCCTGGCTCACACAGCCACAACAGCGCTGATCTGATGTCATTGCTCCCCAGGCAAACAGAACTTGCTGGGGGTTAGTAGAGAATATGGGATTATATTATATAGGGATTAGTAGGGACTACTATAGGTATATTTTATTATACAGGGGTTATAATTATAGGGAATATATTCCCTTATTCCCCACTAACCACCAACAAGAGAAGCACCAGCAAACAGAGAGGAGCCTCATCTTCGCTTTGCCTCATCAGATCTACCAGGCTGTGACTAAACTAGACTCAAGCAGCTGGCTCGCGCAAGGATTGCGGGCAATTCCGTATATCCCAAACATGTCCCAACAGCATAGCCTTCGTGCTGGAACCTCCGCGAAAGGGATCCATGAATTGGAGGAACCCTCATATGAATTGGAGGGGACCCAACCCATTCTGAGCGAAAGCACAACGTGCTCGCTATGTGTGACAACAACTCAGACATCGAGATCTGCAAATACCTGGAAATTGGAAAAGCTCTCTTGCCCAGACCTGTCGCAGGTGACTGACTCATCCCGATAAATATCTCAAGGCATCGTCCGGGCGTGCGGCGGTGAGCGGGCCAATGGGCTGGATGTAGGGGATTCTACGGACATTGCCTCTGACAGTTCAACCAATCGGTCGGACAGCAACGCCAAGTATTGCAGTACCAAAGACGACTATGATTCACAAGGGCCAGCAGTTTTTCAAAAATGTCGTGCTGCTGGCAATTATGACCCAGGCTGAGCTCCAGGCCCCAGCGCTGTAACCACTGCAGGCTGAACTCCGGTGGCTCTGCATCAGCCTGGCAGAAGCGTGCTATTGCTTGGAGGGAGTTTGGCAGGCCCTGATGTTTGGGACATTCACAGATGACTGCAAAGCTGGCACTATCGCACAGCTGACACCTGCAGAAAGCTATGCAAAAGCTCCGTGCAGCCCAAGCAGCTCTTGCCAATCCGCTGTAAACGAGGACGGCGGCTGCCGAAGGAAATCCATCCGAACCTACGATTCGCTTACTGTGTGCAGATGGCAAACCCACCTCTCCAGAATGTTGACAAGCAGCTCCAAGTGATGCTGCTGGAGCGCTGGAGACGCGTTCCTGCTTGCAGATCGGACTGTCAGTCTGCCTTCTCTGCAGGATGTGAACCCAAGCCTCCTCTGGAGTTGACGGGGCAGTGCTGTCGCTGCGCGCTGTATCAACCACGCTGTACCTCAACATCAAGCTCTCCAAGTCAAGGATGGAGCAGCTGTCTCCACTCTTAAAACTGTGACACACGAAGAGTTCGTTCGTGCAGCTGGCTTTGGGCTGCGGGAGCATGATAGCAGTTCAGGAGCGCACGCGTACACGGAGTTTGCGAGTAAGGCAGAAAGGCCACCAGCCTCCAACCAGGGGAACGTGCTCTGAAAACTCCGGGAAAAAACAGCGTCAACTCAACCTGAAACCGCGGATATCCCAAAACCTCAACAACAAACTAAGAACGATACTAACTACCATACTCAGAAGGCTTCTTTGACACCTATGGGGGAAACCCGCCCACTGCGTCATGACATAGAAGATGCAAAGTAAGAGCGCGCCCTCGTTTCTGGACTGCTGCGGCAACTACTTGCACACCGTCAATGCAACTACGCTGCGCGTCATTGGCGCTACGCTTTACTTGCACAGATTTCAAAGGAGCAAGAAATTGCCGAATTGCCATTGGCAAGAAATCGATGGAGTCACTGTCGAAAGCTTGAAAGGTTGAAAGCTTCTCAAGCTCTCAAACAGAGGCTGTGTGGCAAGACTGAAGGCTGGCTCCTGCAGGAGCCAAGGAAGACGCTGCAAAGTTGCCACACCAGGTCACTAAACGTGGCCTCAAGCTTGCAGCAACGTTGGCTGCAAGCTACTGAGGCTCAGCTCACTCACCACGGTCCTGAGGAGAGCCAGCGCATGCACAACCAGATTTGATTCACCAAAAATGCGCTGCGATCCGTGACCTAAGTAGATATCCCCTCTGATCAATAGTCGCCACATGTCGCCACCCTCTCATAACGCACGGCCCGCGAACCCAGTGCTCAAATGTGCTCGAAGCGTCCGTGAATAATGTCCCTACTACTCGCTAGATCTTGCAAGCACGCTGCTCCAGCGCCAGCTCTGCTCTGTGTCCCAGCTGCCATGGCGAGAACCTCAGTGACTGCATGCGAGGCTACACACTTCGGAACGGTGTGCATGCGTTGGCAGAAAGCAGCCCACCGTCCATCTGCTTCAAGATACTTTATGCGATCCCCATTCAGTTTTTCAGCCGGGGTGCCATCTCGATCCCACCAGCTTGCAGGCCAGGCCTGGATGTTGTCAGAGCCTTAGTTGACGGGTCTGTGTGTGCTGCGCACAGCGAACACAAGAACGCCCCACGCTCTTCCTTTTTTTGTGCAAGTTGCCGGAGGTGCGTCGCCGCTTGGAATCACCGCGATAGAGCTCTTGGCCATCGTATCCTGCGCGATGCTCGGCAACAAGATTGGCATTGGGCACAAGCAGGTCCGAGTTGTGCAAATGCTGCGCCTCGGGCGTCGTGCCGACTGCTTTGCCCGTTCTGGGAACGGTGCTGCCACCATCCTCGCCAGCACGCTGCAGAGCACAATGGAGCCAAGCAACCGATCCATACCGATTTGCACAGCCCTGAGGTGAGCACCGTCGTCACTAGCCCAAGTTGTCTGATGCCTGGCGGGTGGAAAATTCCATGCTCTAAGCGCCGGTCTAGTTACTTCTGGGCGCCTCCAGTGATTATGCCAGTGAGGCTCATCTTCATGGGGCCCTGCCGAATGTGCTGTGACCGCGACAAACTGGCCCCAAGCTTCGGCTGAACCTGAGGTCCGGGCCAGCGTGCTCAACGTGCTCGGCCTCACGCTGCCTCTTGCGCTCGCTACGGGTGGGATAACCTCGGCCGATTCATGGAGCATCAGCTGCCGACCGCTTGCCAGTTCAGCCGCGAAACGTGGGCGCTCTTCCGGAGGACACATGCGGTCAAAGGACTTCTTCCAAAAATAACAAGTGTCCTGGCAGGAGCTACCGAGTCACCACGTCACGAAGAGCTCAGCAGTGCTTAGCACGTTTTTAATGGAAACGAGAGCTCCTCTTTGGCAGAGGATGCGAAATGCACCTTATCGTCGGCTAGAGGCCATTGGCAGATGTGTCTGCCACCCGCGGTGACGTCGCAGTCGTTCATACGAAGGAAATGTCTCAGACAGGGATTCACAAACATGCTGCAGAGGCTTGTGCGAGGGACCCAAAGTGACAGAAAGGCCCCCACCTAATCCTCTCCAAATTATCGTCGTACTCGGGCTTTGGGCGCAAGTAAGTCCCGCGATATCGCCTCAGTCGTGCACACAAGCAAGTCGGTCTGCATATGGTTTGGACTGGATCTCGTCGCCAGCTGTCTGCGCCCGAGTCTCTGATATGAGCCAGCCACGAGGAACACAACATAATCTGCTTTGTTGTTTGCGGTGGCAATGATATCTCCCCACGTTTCCAACTGCCACCGCTTGAGGTTGCCTCAGGCAGCAATGACGTACTTCGAGGGCACCGTAAATTCGCTCTGGGCATCTTTTATCAGAAGGCTTTCGGGCAAATCCCAGCACATGCAATCTGAGCGCAACCAATCCGATGCAAACCACTAAGATGTAGCACTCTGGAGCATATAAATCTCAGCTCCCGGCCTTTGAGCACATCATTGCCAAAGTACGATATGCCGAGACATCGGCACCGAGGCATTGCTTTGAGGGCCTGCAAGGTGCACAAAAAAGATCTCAAACCCCCCAACAGCCATCCAGGCCCCGGCCTCAAGGATGTACTCCGCTCCACCCCCGGCCTTGTAGGTTATTTCCGTGGGGGCCCCGAGCATCTGCTCGAGTTCCCCCTTGAAGGGTTTCTTCTTCTTCCCACTTTTTGTATACAGGGACGAATCCCCAAGGAGCTGGTATCGCTCCTCATCCATGGCTGCAGCTGCTTCAACTGCTAAGCGTGAAGCTGCTGTCAAGTTGTGGAGTCTAGGGCCCCAAGGAGTCTGCCTGAAAATCTTTTCCTAGCTCGTGCAGCTGCTGTGGCGGTCGTGCCCCAGCATCTGGGCAGTCATTTGAACTACTCATCTGACCAGTCTTAGCCAATCCGCTACTTGAAAAACATTACTTGAAACGTGGCAACATGTAGGAAAACAAAAAACAAAATCTTACTTTACACATCGGGTCACATCGGTCTTGCCCCTTCAGAAAACATCAGAAAACAATACGCGTCTTTGCTAAGATTTGCGCCATCTGACTCAGGCTCTCAGCTGAGGAAATGGCGGATGGGCATCACTGCATAAGGGCATGCAAATCAAGCGAGCACATTGACATGAGAAAGGCCAGCTGTCACGCAGAAAAGTGCAATCTCCGACTTGCTTTGCAATTGTGGGATTGACCCTGCATTCCCCTCAGGCCTCCTCCGTGTCCTGCACCGCAGACGGGGCATGTCATGGCTGCATGAGGCAAATGGCCTGCTAACTAGCCAACTAGCCGACTAGCCGACTAGCCACAGCCAGCGAACCCCCTCCTCTGCAGAGAGAACGCGAAGGACGCCTCGGGGAGCCGCTTCTGATGCCGCAGTGCCATGAATCACTGCGCAATTCTGAGCGCAGCACTGTCCAGATCTAAGCCATCCGCAAAGTCCACGTTCTGCACACTGCCTGGAGGCTTCTCTGTAGCAAGGGCGGATGCAAAAGCAAGGTGGCAGTATTCGCAGTGCAAAAAGGACAGAACTTCAAAAAGAAAACCGAGCATGAGGTAGCTCATCCGTAGTCGCAGCAACGCCATTGCCAGTTTGATTTTGCAGGCCGCACTTGTTACTTTAACGAGTTATGCAACCAAAAGCTTCCCTTCGAATCAGTCATCCCCCCAATATATACCTAGGGAACCCAGACCGCAAAAAAAGCGGGCGGAAGCTTCAAACGGGGTTTTGGCATGAAACCCAGCGTTTGCATAGCCCATGACCAGGTCACGGGTAAATCATGGGTTTGTCACGTGATGTCACGGGTAAACCACGGGTTGGGCACGCGCTGGTCACTGGAAAATCCGGGGTTTTCAGATCTCAGCATTTCACAAACCTGGGGTTTCACGTCAAAACCCGGAGTTTCGGGCAGTTGCTACTCCAGACTCGGGTTTGTTCAGATAGACCCGACAATTTTCCAGGTTTCGGTTCTATAGGTAGAGGGTCATTATGGATTCGTGTCCATTACATCACAGATTAGCGCGAATGCTTCTGAATAGGGAGGTTTGGTCTGCACTTCAGACCGCGAAGAGCAAGGCCCCGGCTCGCGGAGCTCTCGCTGCAGTCGTCTGGGCCAAGGACCTCCAGCCTTGCAAAAGCCAAAAAAACATGCATCAGACGCGGCTCTCCGAAACGGCTATAAACACAAATTCATGCCCTTTGACCGCTTGAGCTTTCTACACCTTTCACCTTCATGGCGTTGTGGAAACGAACTTTCGCCTTCGGCTAAGTCGTGAGGTTCTTGCTTTACTGAAGGCAGGTCCTGGACAGAGCCAGCGGAAACCCCGTTCGAGCGCTGGACGTTTGGCAGGTTGCGGAAGAGCGCGCTCGGGCTTGACCCACGCGCGGTGAAGACGCCGTGCCTCCGACTGAAAGGGCACGGAGTCTTCAAGTTGAAAAGCAAACATGAAGTGGTTATCGGAGGGCCCTCATCCATGAAAGGCACACAAGGATACACCGGTACCCCCAGAGCTAAGCACAACCCTTGCTTTCAGGTATCTTTTGCAGCACGTTTGCTGAAGCTCTGGCTGACTCGAGCAAAGTCTGTCGCGCAGCTGCTGCCTTGATCAGCCATATAGCAAACCAGCACATCAACGGCCCCTACAAATTCTCAAGGCAAGGCCCGGTCGTTTAAGTATAAAATACTTGCAGCATCCGACTTTGTTTATGGACTTGCGCAAACAGAAACCTTTACCAAGATGATCCCAAGCTTCCGCACAGGACACGCATGAACACTTCACGAGCTAAAATTCCCATCACAGCAGCGGGCACGAGCACATTGCATCAGCTTCCTGAGACTTCTGCAGTCGCGCAGGTCAACCACTTCCTGCCACTGGGTTCACGTGTCAAACTGTGGCGGGTACAGGGCCATAGCAGACTCTGCAACACAAAACCCAAGAGAACTCTCTAACAAGGGCCTCTACATCGTCCACATCCTTCCCACACAGCTGCCAAGCCTCATCAAGTAGCAGAACAGCACACGATGTGGGGATGAGTCGTTGCAGTGGTCCAGCCCTAACTGCTCCACCAACATACGTAAATACGCAAAAAAAAAAGTGCGCACTGGAACGCGCAAATGCACCGACTGTCACCAACCCTGCCTCGTCCAGGTAGCTCTCAGCGTCCATGTAGCTTGTGTGCTGAAACACTGCAAGCGCATGCCAAGGATATCTACGCAAACATTTGAGAACACAACCTGCTTACAAGTGTTCCATCCGCATCCATGCATGCATGTACATAGCCCAAGTCTTATCCAAAAGCAGAGCCCTTGGAGGATGTTGCGTTGTTCCATGTCCCTTTTCAGGCCTTTAGGAAGGTGCCTGTCCCTCTTGAGCATGGAACTGCAGACAAACATCCAGGATGTTCTCAGCATTCTTGCTCTTGTCTTTGGAAATTCCCTGCTAAGCAAATCTCACGAAGGTCACCGAAGAATCCTTTGTCTGCTGCGGCCTTGACCTCAATCGTCAAGTACTTCTGCCAGCTCGACTTCGCGCAATCGCTGGCGCGCCGTGGACAATTACGTAACATGACACCCCTCACTGTCGCTGCCCAGATTGGATGGGTATCGGACATTGGCTCACCAATAATAACTCGCAACGACAACGAGGCACGCTTCTCCAGCTTTCGGACATTTTGGCTTTGCTGGGGTGGTCGACTGGTACGCTCTGCGTTCGGGATGTTCGGGCCTGCTCCCGGCCAACTAGTCAGCTCTCTGTATCCTCCCTAAGGTTGTTAGTCGTGAACTACAGCAGCCTTACCAAGCGAAATGGAAAAAAGACCCGAGCAGTTAACCACAAGTTAACCACATCCACACCAGTAATGGAAAACAAAATGGAAACTACTATAAGACCTATAACCCCAATATTATAGTAGTTTCCATTTTCTTTTCCATTATCCCAATATCCCCAATATATACCCTATAATCCCTATATAATCCCTAGAATCCCTGTAGTTTCCATTTTCTTTTCCACTATCTCTACAAAACAGCACAATCTAGCACAGACGCAGGCCTTGGCAGGCCTTTGAAGGACTCAATATTAGGGATTACATTGGGGTAATATTGGGACTATATTGGGGTGATATTAGGGACTATATTGGGATTATGTTGGGATCATATTGGGATTATATTGGGGTTTTATTAGGGACCATATTGGGATTACTTGTTGCTGAGAAACCTGTTTCCTGATGGGCACAAGCCGGCCGAATCCGTGAGAGATGGCCCTAAGCATACTCCGAACACAGGCCAGCTTGAGTCCGCAGTTCATACCGTGAATCGTACATGTACTTGTACATGAGCCAACCGCTTCAACTTCAATGACCATACAAGCAGACTTCTTCAATCGTAGGCGTTAAGACTTCTTTTAAGCCCTGTGTTCACGCACTACAGAGTGCTGGTGTTGAGAAAGCTTCAGCATTGCAGCAAAAGTCTGTGCAGGAACATCTCTTTTTGCTCATCTTGCACTGCTGTCAGGTTGCGCTGGCTAGGTACTTTTGCATGTCACTCAGCTGGGCTTTCCGTCACGTCGCACAGCAGAGAGGAAGCGCGAGATGGACGACAAGCTATCATCCGCCGCGCCGGAGACCCTGCCAGCACATCACACTGTAAGAGGTTGTTGGGTCTGCCACTGTCGGTACTGGACTTGTCTTGGTAAAGTTCGCCGGCATAGCTTGGCTTGGTCCTATCTCCAGAGAGGCGGCCATGTAATTCAACTAACTCCCCCTACTCTTCAGGATTTCAATGAGACAACTCTCCGTCCTCAGTTGTTGCATGCAGGCGTGGTCGAGATGTGAGAACTGTCCAACGGCCAAAGGCTGATGGAGCCGAACGAGGCAGAGAAGATGCTCTCAAATTCCCGAGAAGTCCACCTGATCCACACTGCAACCAGACCATTGAGTACGGGGCACCTGCAAAGCTGCCTGTTGAGCTGCGTGAAAAACTGGCAATCTACGCACTTCCTTTATGGCAAGCTGCAGCACCTCAGTAAGTCCACCTTTGCAGCAGAGAGCCCCTGTTCTCAATCCTGCCGGCACTGCAGCCCAACTACATGTAGCATTGCTATAGCATTGCAAAGTCTCAAAGCACTCGCAACTCACATGCCCAGTCCGGGGGCTTGCAAAGGAGCGCGCACTGGCTGCCACACTGGCCCCGTCCTGGCAAACTTGTGCTGCCGTACTATGCTGCTATCAGGTGCAGGCTCGGGGCCTGGGGTTTTGAGAAGCGCACACACACTGACACGCTGAGCTTGAAAAATGGCACGTGAAGCCACACAGCCAAACCTCCTTTCCCTGCTAAGTCTGTAGAGTCTAGAGGACTTTGATGCTTTCAGTGCCTTGATAATGGACGCCATTGCTTGTCAAAGTGAAGTATCTGTATCTGTTTCAACCATGTGGCTGACATTCAGGAATGCCTGCAGGCAAGCGAACTCAAACCGACCTGGTCTTGGGCCCATGGCAGGCTACGGAAACGAAAAGGGCAGCGAGGCCGCCACCAAGTACAGCACCTGCACTTTGCCCATGTGAATGTGAAGTGCACTGTTGAAACTTCCTGTCAGGGACCTAGACCTTTGCTAGAGCGCTAGAGCCACCTTCTTTATAAAAGCAGTCCCAAGACGTAGGAAATCCAGCTTCAGCTTTTCTCGCTACATCATCCACGAAGAATTCTTTTGGCCCTGCATGTGTGTTGCAGCCTCCAATCCTCCCAGGGGGACAAAATCGCGGAGAATCCACATCCCATCTTTTGACGTCATATGCCCCATGAAAGTCCTGAGGCCGCGACAGTCCGTGCGAGGCTGGCATGTCGTGAGCGATGTCTACCATGGAGATGTCTCCTGGAATCACGACACTCTCACATCTTCTGTCAGCTCAAAACTGAGTCTGACCCAGCTAGCCTAGCGAAGCCCCGGCTCACATAGCACACCGTAAGACCCACTCTGCCAATGTGTGACATGGTGTCTGGGGGGTCGAAATGGCAAGGTTGTTCGCAAAGAAAAGCACTGGCCTGGAGAGAAGCCACCTCATTTTCACTGGGCCTTGTCAGCCGGATGTGCCAGACTAAATCGACTCAAGCAGCTGGCTCGTGCGAGGAATACTTATGCGCCATAGCGGGCGGTGACGCCCGGAGAAGATGCTAAGACATGCTAAGTAAGAGTGCACCGTCATTTCTGGACTGCGGCTCGATTGTTGCCCGGAACCCAGGAAGAGTTCAGCCGCGAAACGGGGGCGGTCATGCGGAGGACACATGCGGTCAAAGGACTTCTTCCAAAAGGAACAAATGTCCTGGCAGGAGCTACAAGTACCAAGTCACCACGTTAAAAAGAGCTCAGCATTGCATCGCAGGGTTTGAATGGAAACAAGAGCTCCTCTTTGGGAGACGATTCGAAATGTACCTCTTCGTCGGCCAAAGTCCATTGGTGGAGGTGCTTTTGACTTGCGGTCACATCGCAGTTGTGCATTCGGAGAAAGTTTCTCAGACAGGGATTTCATGAACATGCTGCAGTGGCTTGCGCAAAGGACCCAAAGTGACAGAAAAGCTCCAACCTGATCTTCTCATCGTCGTACTCGGGCTTCGGGCGCAAGTATGTCTTGCAATATAGCCTCAGCCATGCACACGAGCAAGCCGCTCTGCACGTGGTTTGGACTGGATCTCGTCGCCGGCTGTCTGCGACCGAGGCTCTCATAGGAGCCAGGCACAAGGAAGACCATGTAATCGGCCTTGAGGTGAGCGGTATCAACAATTCCTGCCAACGTCTCCAGCTGCCGCCGCTTGAGGTTGCCTCAGGCAGCAATGAGCAATGACGTACTTCGAGTAGTGGGCATCGTTTATCAGAAGACTTTCGCGCAAATGCCAGCACATGCAATCTTGGTGCAACCAATTGGATGCAAACCACCAAAATGTAGCACCCTCGAGCATATGAAGCTCAGCTCCCGGCCGTTGAGGGCATCATTCCCAAAGTATGAAATCCCCAAACATCGGCAACGGGGCATTGCCTCCAAGGCCTGCAAAGTGCACAAAACAGATCTTAAATCCCAAAAAGCCATCCAGGCCCTCCACCCTCGGCCTTGCAGGTGACCTCTGTCCGTCTGCCAAGAATCTGGTCGAGATCCCCCTTGAGGGGCTTCTTCTGGCTCGCGTTCTTCACGATGTGTTTGACACATCCATACACATACACTCACAAACTGTAGTTGAAGTCGGCCGCAATGGACGAGGAGCGCTATCATTTAGTCGGCGATTCGTCACTGCATACCATACAGCGACGACTCGCCGACTAAGTGATACCGCCCAGACTACAACTACGGCGTGTGTCCCCCGAGGAATCTCTCTAGCTCCTGCAGCTGCTGTGGCTGGGTGGGCCAGCAGGCTGGGAGGATTTTGATACTTGCTGCGTCTTGATGGTTTGCATCCGATTGGTTGCGTGGTTGCGCCCAGATTGCATGTGCTGGGATTTGCTGGGAGGCCTTCTGATAGAAGATGCACAGGGCCAATCTGCCGTGCCCTTGCGGTACGTCATTGCTGCCTGAGGCAACCTCAAGCGGTGGCAAATGGAAACGTGGGCAGAAATTGTCGATACCGCTCACCTCAAGGCCGATTATGATTACGCGGTGTTCCTTGTAGCTGGCTCATATGAGAGCCTCGGGCGCGGACAGCTGGAGAAGAGATCCAATCCAAACCATGTGCAGAAAGACTTGCTCGTGTGCATGCCTGAGGCGGCATCGCAAGGTCGTCCTCGATAACTTGCAGAAGATCAGGTGGGAGCCTTTCTGTCACTTTGGGTCCCTTGAGCAAGCCTCTGCAGCATGTTTGTGAAATCCCTGTCTGAAAAACTTCCGCCGAATGCACAATTCACCAATTCACGTGCGAATTGAACATGACCTGGTCTTGGGCCCATGGCAAACTATGTGCATCGACTGCCCATCCTCCTTGGCAACACAGACACTGCATGAATCATGGAAACGAAAA